TAAACGATGTCGTAGGACAACGGGGGGGACGGCGTTGGAATCAGACGACCTAGACGCACCTAAAAATCGGCGACTGGTAAAAATTAATTTTTTTTTGAAACACCCTACTGCTTGTTTGCTCGGGTAAACAATGCAAATCACGCTTTAATGTACACAGTGCCAAAGTAATTGTCATCTGCTAAAAAAAACAGTTGCGGGGGCAAGTTGGCACCGACATTGGGGCGACTGTTTTCATGAATCGTGGTCGAGTGGGGTTCGGGGCAAGTAAATGCCATGGGCGAGTTTACCGACGGACTATTTCGGGGGAAGGTGTACGAACTATTTCGCAAGTGATTTCTCCCTTGTCCGTCACCCCGGAGAAATCCTGCGCGTAATCTTTAAAAGAAGATATCCTATTAAAAATAGAAGTACACATTTGGGGCATCTTCAAAGTAAATTTCATGTCATTCTGATATTGTTTACGTGTTAAGCCATCCCTTGGGTTCAGAAATGTACCCTCAGGTTTCATTCGTGTACGCCTACAGTGGCTCAGAAACTAATTTTATTGACAAATGTACCAAAAATGCATTTTGCAAGATAAAAGCCCCCTCAAGGCCCAGATCATGTTACCTGGCCCCAGTTCAACCGCAGGACGAGGCTTTCACGATGACTGCCTTCCGAGCTCCGAGTCGTAGTCTGATACGAAAATCGCGATGCGCTACGGGTAAAAGTTGTCGCAATCGGTTAAACTTTGCATAAGACTTCTGGTAGGTTCTTTAAATCTAGCATTTGAAGGTCGTACCTTGATAACGTTTTAAAAGTTAGACGACCTAGGCTACCGGAATTTGCCCAAAGTTGCCGGGAGGTTACCCGGATGCACACTGGGGCGAAAACGGAATTTTAGGGTCAAAAGTCTAGAGTACTCAGAATGGTGTCAAAGTTGGTATCCGGGGGTTTTGACGTCTCCCAAAGCCATTTCCGATATCCGTTTGAACCCCAGGGTCATCCTGGGTCGTCGTCGGGGACCTCACGAGGTCGCCGATGACGTCCGCCAAGGAAATTAGTACCA